AAAGGATTTATACCCAGAATATACATAGAACTCTTAAAACTCAACAATAAAAAGGCAAATAATCCAGTTGAAAAAATGGGCAAAGGACCTGAATAGACATTTCTCCAAAGAAGATACATATATACAAATGGCCAATAAGCACATAGAAAGGATGCTCATTACCATTAATCATTAGGGAAATGCAAATGAAAACCATAATTAGATACCACTTCACACCCACTAGGATGACTGTTAGATAATAACAAATGTTGTCAAAAATGTGGAGATATTGGAACCCTCATACACTGCTGGTAGGAATGTAAATGTTGCAGCCACTTCAGAAAACAGTTTGGCAATTCCTTAAAATGTTAAACATAGTGTTACTATAGGAAAATATATATATTGTTCTCTGTCCCTGATCCCTGACACAGGGTTCCTAAAACCCTTGTAATTTCCTAAGTAATAAGAAGAGCACTAGGAGCATCTTCAGTTTTAATGAGGTGACTCCGAATGGGCTCCTGGAGGAGGGCTGGTCGCTGGAAAGTAAAAGCCTTGATTAGCAGCTTAGAATTTTCAGCCCTGCCCCCCATCCTCCAGAGAGGGGAGAGGGGCTAGAAATGGAGTTAATAATTGATCATACCTACGTGAGGAAGCCTCTATAAAATCCCAAGAGTATGGAGTTCAGAGAGTTTCCAAGTTGGTGAATACATCCACATACTGGGAGGGTGATGCACCACAAATCCACGGGAACAGAAGCTCCTGCCCTCTGGACCCTCCCAGGCCTCACCCTATGTTATCTCTTCATCTGACTGTTCATCTGTATCCTTTATCATATCCTTTAATAAACTGGTAAATAAATATAAGTAAGTGTTTCCTGAGTTCTGTGAGTGACTCTAGCAAATTAATCCAACCAAGGAGGGGGTCATGGGAACCTCTGATTTGTAGACAATACAGACAGAAGTTGTGGGTAACCTGGGGACCTACTACTTGTGATTGGCATCTGAAGTGTGGTGGGGCAGTCTTGTGGGACTGAGCCCTTAATCTGTGGGATCTGACACTATCTCTGGGTACATAGTGTCAGAATTAAGTTGTAGGACACCCAACTGGTGTTTCAAGAATTGCTTGGTGTGGGGAGAAACCTCACGCATTTGGTGACCAAAAGTATCAGAAGTTAAGTGTTTTGTGTGAGTAGTAAAGGAGACACACAGGAAAGAAAGACACATTAGGGAAGAAATGGGTTTTTCCCTACTCAGGAGGAGAAAACTGGTGGTTCTCCTAATAGAATACCAAAGAAAAATGGAAACATATGGCCACACAGAAATTGTACATGGATGTTTGTGGCAGCATTCATGTGATAGCCCCAAAGTGGAAACCCAAATTGGGAATCAACTGGGAATGATTAAACAAAATGTGGTATGTCCATACAATGCAACATTATTTGGCAATAAAATGAAGTACTGATAGATGCTCCAACATGGATGAACCTTGAAAATATATACTAAGTGAGAGAAGCCAGTCACAAAAGACCACATATTATATGATTCCACTTATATCAAATGTGCAGAATAGGGCTATGACCCTAGGCTCTGGTATACAGTGAGCGGGGCCAGGGTCAGGACAGGCAGGAGGGCTGTGAAGCCAGTCAGAGAAGGTGGGAAGGGATGTACCAGATGAGAGAGCAGCATGCAAAGGCCCCAAGGTAGTCACGAGCTTGGTGTGTTTACAAACTGAAAGACGGCCAGCATGGTAGGAAACTGCCAGAGAAAAACCAGTCCAGACTTAGTAAATAGAGACTTGTATTCAAAAGAATTAATGCAAGAGGGAAAGGGGGACTATTGCAAGACGGAGATCGTGACCCTGGGGTCTGCAAGTGTCTCCAATCAAACAGAAGATGGTTTTTCTTTTATAGGGTAAAGAGGAAGCAAAGATAAGCAGAATCTTTGGGGGGAAAGCTGGACGAGCAAGGTGAAATGACTAGTGGGGTCTGACAGAAAAGTATCTCCCTGGGGTCCTAATCCCGATTCCCGGGAGAAGCTGATAAGGGGGCATGTCCCACTTTTCTGTGCTTGCTCAGTCTTGGGGAACAGCAGAGGTCAGGGGCCTGGAGGAAAGAGAAACCTGACTGAAGTCTGGCTAGCAAGCATTTTGTTCTGATTGATCAGTGGGGACAAGCAGCTCAGCTAATGAGACAAAGAATGGGAATTTGGCCAGTCTGTATCTCGCTCCGTCTTAAGTACCATGGAGGGTGTCTGTGGGTCTTAACTGAGTCGTATATGGGAGGGAGGTTCTGTGCAGTAAGCTGTTTTCTGGAACACAAACGTGTGAGGGGATTTCTTAACCTTCACTGTTTACCAGGATCACAGGGCTCAGGCAAAATTCCACATTGCCCAAACTGAAATCAATCATGGCTTCTCCGAGGCTAATCCAAGTCCAGGAGCTGTTCATGAGTCAGATCTTTACAGAGGATCTTTCTTGGGCATAAGAGCAGAGAAGTTAGAAAAGCTTGATTTAGTCATAAAAATGCCTTAAATTTTCATACTGAAAGCTACCTTTTTCATATTAAAGATATGTTTAGGGCAAGATTAGAATAATACAAATTTATCTTTTTTCTTTTAGATAGTTCTTATGCTTTATTTTATTTATTTAAATTTCTTTATTTTAATTTTTTTTTTTTTTGGCGGCATTGGGTCTTCGTTGCTGTGCAAATTTATCTTTTACTTTAAAATTATACTTTAACAGTCACTGCTTGACTCAGTGCTGGTTTTCTTTTTCTGCTTTCTGGAAAACCCCTTTAAGTGTGCACTGTGCATCTACATTATACATTAACCAGACCTCCTTAGAAGATTCAGGGATGACTGCTTGACCGAAAAGAGTCTTCTCCTGACGCCAGCAAGATAACTCCTTAGGAGAAAACATTCCTTTCTTAATCCTGTAATCAAAGTGAAACAGCACCAGCTTAAACTGGTTTTGCCTCTTTAAATAGGTGGTTGATTAATCAAACCTTGAGTTATTTTACAGAGACAGCACCACACGTGCGTAAGGCAGGGACGCAGGCCTCCACGATGACCCTGGAACCAAGAATCTTCAGTCCTGACACTGAAGCCCTTTAGGAAGCGAGAAGTCCTTTAATTAAAAAGAAAACATCTGGCTTCCAGAAGCACAAGTAGCTTATCTGGACTAATTCAGGACTAGCCAACCAGCTCCCAAGTTTGAAATTCCCCTACCTCTTAAAATTTTGCCCCCAACACTGGATGGGGAAGGCAGATGGAGAGCCTAAAAGCTGGTGCTATAGTACTGGCTTCCAAGCCCATTAGAAAGCAAGCCCTTTGCTCGGTAACATCCCCACAAATGGAGGAACTGATTGCTTCTTTTAGGCAGTTAAGGGGGAGGTAAAGAGCTTTTCCTGAGTCTGCTGGGTCTTGACTGAACTCTAAGCAAAATAATCCTCATGCCAAAGTGGCATCTTTTCGGGGACTTGTTCGGAACCCCTTCAAGAACAGGCACTGGGCTTCCCTGGTGGCGCAGTGGTTGGGAGTCCGCCTGCCGATGCAGGGGACACGGGTTCGTGCCCCGGTCCGGGAAGATCCCACATGCCGCGGAGCGGCTGGGCCCGTGAGCCATGGCCGCTGAGCAAGCGCGTATGGAGCCTGTGCTCCGTAAGGGGAGAGGCCACAGCACTGAGAGGCCCGCGTACCGCAAAAAAAAAAAAAAAAAAAAAAAAAGAACAGGCACTATGCCAGCTTTCCAAGGCAGACTCAATCCCCTATGAAGCTTGCTGGCCATGACATTAAATAATAGGAATATGGATTAAGCCCTTTAAGTTCTTTTTGGAACTTGTAGTTTATTAGAAAGATCCACAAAAGGGACTTTCAGCTTGCATCCTGTGCTGTTTCTTTTGACTTTATGATATGGTTCTGAAACATATCTGCCTCATCTGGAGGCCCTGTTTGCTGGGCCCTACTCCAGTGTTTATGATTGAGTAGGTCTAGAGTGGGACCTGAGAATTTGCCTTTGTAGCAAGTTCCTGGGTGATGTTCATGCAGTGGTTTGGGGCACCACATTTGGAAACCCACTATCTTAATGGAAAGCCTCTAAGTTGGCAGCTCAACTTTAGTTGCACATTAGAATATCAGGAGAATTTTTTTAAATTCAGCCCTCCACCCCACCTCAAACCAATTCAACCAGAATCCCATGGGCAGGGCCCAGGCATTGGATTTCTACAAAGCTCTAAAAAGGTCCTTCTGTGCATTAGAGTGGAGAAGCACTGCCCTAAATTTGTTTTGCTTCCTGGGGAAAAGTTCCACATGGATTTCTTAAGAAAAAGTGATACGAACCTCCTCTGTTTGTCGAATTGGAGGGTGGGGCTGTATAAAAATCTGCTCCACCTAAGTTGTGTTTGACCCCAAGTGTTTCAAGAGGCCAATGGTTTCAGCCTCCTGCCCTCTGTCCCTAGGTTTTAGAGTCCACAGGTGCCATTGATTAGAAGACCTTAACCTCATATGTACCCTCTGCTTCCCAACCTCTCCTCCTTGGGACTGTTGGGGCTCCTAGAGATGAAGCAGGAATTGTAAACAGAAGGCTCCACCCAGACCAGCGCTTTTCAGACTTTAAGGTACATACAAATCACCTGGGACCTCGCTAAAACGAAGACTGATTCCATGGGACTAGGCTGGGGCCTGAGATTCTGCATTTCTAACAAGCTCCCAGATAATGGGGGCACTGCTATTCCGAGGGCCACACTTAAAGGAGCAAAAGCCAAATCTCTTTTTAAAAATTAATAAACAGAAAACTCAGTTAAATAGAGCTGGGAGACCAGAAGAGGGAGCTCTCACGCCCTGTGACCATAGCAAAGCCCAATAGGAAGAAGAAATACTCCTCTTATATCCTGGCAAGGACTCAGCCAATGAAAAGTCATGGGCTCTTTGTTTACCATACCCGCCCTACTTCCTTTTCCTTTATGAAAGTGTTCTCCTTCCCTTGTCGTTCAGGAACTTGCATGTGGTTTGCCATGGTTACAGACCTCAAGTTGAAAATCTCTGCTGATCCTGAATAAACCCACCTTTGCTGGAGAAATATCTGGCAGTCTATTTGTTTCAGGTCAAAATTTTGGTAGCCCACACAGGGACCATTGAAGATCCTCCCATGGCTTCCGCGCTGGTGAGCAAACAGGTGTGGTAACCACAATTTAGCCTACTGAGCTTTCTAGCTCATTGCTTTCTTGCTGACCCTGGAGTTTGAAGGCACGTCTTTCTCCTGGATCTGAGCTCATGCCATCTTTGTGTTTGAAGCTCCACAGGGTTTATTTGGGATCTACTTAAAGGTTTCATCTTTCTGGTTGAAGTCTTGTTTTGTATATGTTTGGCACTTTGGTCTGATTTTCAAGTCAGACTGTCAACCAAAGCTGGCTGAAAAGGCCTTTGGCTGATTCCTTCAGAAACAGGGGCTGCTTCTCTGAAACTGTGCTGGTTTTTCAGTCTTTGGCCTATTCCTTTGGCCTATTCCTTTGGAAAGGGCCATTCTCTGGAAACTGGCTGAAAAAGGCTTTCCACCTGGCTTCTCCGAGACCAAGCTATCTCCTTAGGACTGGCTGGTATTCAGGCTTGCAAGCTATTCATATTGAGCTGTTTGTGCTGTAAGCTCTTGGAGCTGTTTGAAAATTGTTCTTTACTCTAGAGAAAAACCTCTGAGAAATGGGATCCCAGTTATCTAAATATTTGGAGGGTGCCTACAGGGACTCGGGCCAATTTTATGTTTTTATGTATTATGGCTTCCTCATGTGCATTTTTTAAAAATAATTTTTCTTGAAATATAGTTATTTACAATGCTGTGGGATATTTTTAAAATAAATTTATTTATTTATTTACCTTTTGGCTGTGTTGGGTCTTTCGTTGCTGCGCAGGCTTTCTCTAGTTGCGGAGAGCGGGGGCTACTCTTCACTGTTGTGCACGAGCTTCTCACTGCAGTGGCTTCTCTTGTTGCGGGGCACGGGGTCTAGGCCTGCAGGCTTCAGTAGTTGTGGTGCACGGGCTCAGTAGTTGTGGCTCGCGGGCTCTAGAGCGCAGGCCAGTAGTTGTGTGGCACAGGCTTAGTTGTTCTGCGGCATGTGGGATCTTCCTGGACCAGGGGTCGAACCCGTGTCGCCTGCATTGGCAGACTGATTCTTAACCACTGCGCCACCAGGGAAGTCCCCTCATGTGCATTTTTAACTAAGTGGACTGACCTGACTAAAGGCAACTTGTGATATCAATGGCCATTATGGGGAACTTTTGAAATCCCCAAACTTAATTTCCTTAAAACTGAAATGGACTACAAGAGCTCAAAAATTTCCAGAACTGAGTGGAATGCTTATTTCAATTGATATTTTAAGGCTTTCCAACATTATAAAGAGTCTAAATTGCCTCTCTGCAAAGTAAGATTCTGAGATCAACTGAGGCAAACAAATGATTAAAGAAAGATGAAATAGTTCCCAAAGCCTCAGGCTCTTCTCCCTTGGCCCCTTTGCCTCAGGCTCTGCCTCGGGCACCATCTTGTCTCTCTGCAATCTATGCTGCCTATGCCTCCTCTATACCCTCAGTTCCCCCTTAGTAATTCTCCCACCATACTTCCCCTTTTCTCTGAAACTCTTTCGGCCCCCTTTTCCTCTGAACTTGTCAGAAGCTGTCCCTTTAAAATTAAGCCTTCTAAGGTTCCAGAAGCTAAACCCTTAATTTCTTATAATATCTGGAGTAAAGCTGAACTGCGAGCCATAGTCAAAGATTTTCCCAAAGTAATTGAAGTTCCTCACAGATTTGATGAGGAATTTCATATAGCCATTCTAACTTGTCAGCCTGGATTCTCTGACTTATATCATCTAGTGCATATGCTTGTTGGTGAAGGCCAGACCCAGCTTTGGATGAAAACCACCAATCAGGAAAGTCCTGAAAGGTCTCTAGAATTACAACTGGTAGACCAGCCACCTAACTTACATGATCAGGCTCCGGCAATCGCTAGGCAACTTCATCAAGCAATTCCTGGGGCCTTTCCAAGGCCTGTTAATTGGAACAAAATTCAGGTTTACACACAAATCTGTCAAACCTGTTCATGATTATTACAATCAACTTCAGACTGTTTTTAAAGGAAATTCTGGTCTTCCTTCAGATATTGATTCCATCCAAGTAGCTTTTAACTGTGTCTGTTAATGGGCTGAACTGAGACTGTTCCCTTCTAGTAAAGAGGACCAGGATGGAATGGGAAACTATGTCCACTCCAGATTTAGTTAATCTGGCAAGCCAGCTCTCTCGTACTCTAGATGAGTCACCTCCAAGGAAGACTGCCAAAATTCTTAATCTTCAACAAATGAAGGCTCAGAAATGAAACCAAAACCCTCCTAGTTTCTTCTATTATTGCAAATAGCCAGGACATTGGAAAAGAGATTGTTACAAATTTAAGCACTTTAGGCACCTTCAGCCCTCCAACCAGCCTTTCCAACATCTTCCCTATTTTCAAAGATGGGATCCCGAGGAACTACAGGGGGCTCTTTCTAATCCTCCCTATTAATTGGTTGGAGAAACATTTCTCCAGATTGGGGATGAATCTCTTCCAGGCCTAATTGACACCAGAGCCCCACACTTGGTGCTCAACCCCACCACTATGGAACAGCCCCCAGCTTGGAGTACTAAAACAGTTCAAATAGTAGGGATCTCTAAGAGGTTCCCCTATTCCCTTTTGTTTAGGCTCTTTGAGAGATATACACCATTTTCTCCTTAGTTCCTCCAGCCCATCCATTTATTTATTATTAGAGAAGTATTATGATGGAATTTCTCCCCCCAAATTGAAATAATTCTAGAAATTGACAGTAGCCATTAAAGTAACCAACACATGAATTGAATAACTCTTTGACATTTTTATTTTTTCTGTCTCTGACTGTACTAAAGCTGATTCTGGAAACGCTGATCATTAGTTCCTATTGAATCAGCTACCACTTTCCTTTTGGGCAAAACCTCCACTTGATGTTGGCAAAATTCACAGCACACCTTCCATCAAGATTCAAATAGTCCCCTCAAAACCTCCTCCCAGAATTAGTCAATACCCTATAAATAAAAAAGCCCTTCCAGGCATAAAGCCCATGATAGATTACAAGGGTTAAACCTCATTATCCCTTGTACTAGCACCTGTAATACTCCCATTTTTATCAGTGAGAAGACCTAAGGGCCAAGGATGGGGGTTTGTCTCCGACCTCAGAGCGAATAAACAACATTGTTATCCCTCAACACACTGTTGTTCCTAACTCTCATAAGTTATTAACATCCATTCCCACTGGAAGTAAATTGTTTACTGTAACTGATTAATGCATTATTTAGTATTCTAGTTGATGAAGCTAGCCAATACCTTTTGCTTTCACTTGGAAAGAAAAACAATTCACCCGAACAATAATGTCTCAGTTTTATATTGAGAGTCCTTATTTCTCACAAATCCTGAAAGCTGATCTACATGATATAAAGCTCCCTTGAGGTTCTACTTTGTTGCAATATGTGGATGATCTGCTTCTTTGCTTTCCTTCCCGAGCCTCCTCACAGGAATACAGCATACACTTACTAAAGCTTTTTTAAAAAGTACATGAGGTTCCCAAAGAAAAATTTCAGTTTGCTGAAACCCAGGTTCAATATTTAGGGCATCTTGGACTTCCCTGGTGGAGCAGTGGTTAAGAATCCGCCTGCCAGTGCAGGAGACACAGGTTCAAGGCCTGGGCCAGGAAGATCCCACATGCCACAGAGCCCATGCACCACAACTACTGAGCCTGCGCTCTACAGCCCGCGAGCCACAACTACTGAAGCCCATGCACCTAGAGCCCGTGCTTTGCAACAAGAGAAGCCACTGCAATGAGAAGCCTACGCACCACAACGAAGAGTAGCCTCCACTCGCTGCAACTAGAGAAAGCCCACACGCAACAACGAAGACCCAACAAGGCCAAAAATACATTAATTAATTAATTAATTAATTTAAAAATATTTAGGGCATCTGATATCAGAACAAGACCTATACCTAGAACCAAATAGACTTCATGGTGTTGTAAGTTTACCCAAACCAAAACCAAATGCTAACTGTGAGGTTTGCGTGGGCTAGTTGGTTATTGATGAAATTGGATTCCAAATTTCTCTTTTATGGCCAAATCTCTGTATGTTTTACTTAACAGTAACGATCCAACCCAACTTAATGGGAAGAATTGGACAATATAGCCTTCAAGGCCTTAAAGGAGAATTCTCATCATACTCAACATTTCTGTCAGCCACCTCACCTCCTACGAAGTCCTTTTGTTAACTGCTCCTCACATAACTCTTTTACCTGGTGTTAACCTTAACCCGGCTACTCTTCTCCCCTTGTCACTAATCAAGTAGCTCACAAGTGCATAACACTGACGGACCACCTCCTGTAATGATCTACAGGAAATTCCACTGGGTAACATTGACTTCTCATGGTTCACCAATGGTTCTTATTTGAAAGGTGACAATGGGGAATTCCCTGATGGTCCAGTGTTTAGGACTCCACACTTCCACTGCAGGGGGCATGGGTTTGATCCCTGGTCAGGGAAGTAAGATCTCACATGCTGTGCAGTGCAGCCAAAAAAAATCAAAAGGTGACAATGGCAAATACTGTGCTGGGTATGCTATTGCAACTCCTTTTGATGTTGTTGAGGTAGCATCTTTAACTATGGCTACTTTAGCCCAACATACTGAATTATACACTCTTACACGGGCTTGTGCTTTAGCCAAGGACAAAACTGCCAATATTTATACTGATAGTAGATATGCTTTCAGAGTAGCTCATGACTTTGGAATGTTGTGGAAGCAACGTGGCTTCCTTACTTCCAGCAGAAATAAAATTTTAAATGGTCCTATGTTCAGGAATTACTGAATGTAACACTTTACCTGCTGCTTTAGCTATTATTAAGATTCTGGGGAATTCTAAACCTGACTCTCTGGAAGCTAAGGGAAATCACCTCTGATATTTTTGCAAGGAATGCTGCCCTTAAAGGGACGAACAGCAGCCAAACCTCTGTCATGGTCCAAAGAGATTAGTTCACCAAAGGATAATTTAGAAAAACTGGCCAACATTTGGCCTCAAAAAAAGGAAAAACAAGATTGGAAATTCAACAACTGTTGGTTTGTTCAAAAGAGAAAGCTCTGGTTTGTACCAAATAACAATCCAGTCCTACTGGAGGCTCTAAAATTCCCACTCCTCACCACTGTACATGCATTAAACCATTGATCTACTGACAAAATGATAGCCTTCATGAATCAATGTTGCTGGGGAAACATTAACAAATTTGCAAAAAGTGCTTACCTCACTTGTCCCACTTGTCAAAATACAACCCAGGGAAGCCTGTTCATACTGCTCCTGGACATTTTAAACTGCCAAATGGACCATTCGAGGTCTGGCAAATGGATTTCATACAACTTCCTTTGTCTCTTGGATATAAATATGTTTTAGTCACGGTCTGTACTTTTTCACACTGGACTGAAGCCTTCCCTTGCAGACAGCCTACTGCCTCTTATGTGACTAACTTTAAACTTCATAGTAATCAAGTAACCCATTTCACAGGCCAGGTGCTTCAAGAAGTCTGTGCTGGCCTTCCCTGGTGGCGCAGTGGTTGAGAGTCAGCCTGCCGATGCAGGGGACACGGGTTCGTGCCCCGGTCCGGGAAGATCCCACATGCCGCCGAGCGGCTGGGCCCATGAGCCATGGCTACTGAGCCTGCACGTCCAGAGCCTGTGCTCCGCAACGGGAGAGGCCACAACAGTGAGGCCCGCGTACAGAAAAAAAAGAAAGTTTAATAGATATCAAAAAAAAAGACAAATGCAGAAGCCAGCTAAAAGTTCATTTTTCAGACAGTGTTACCAGGAAATTTTAATGGTTAGTATTTGATCTGAGTTTTGAAATTGGAGGACATCACAGCAGAGTGAAACTGGAACAAATGTGTGAGATTAGGATTAATGAAATGAAACAAAATTCTGGCAATAGGGCCAGAAAAGTCCTAAAAGAAAAGATACATTAAAACTCCGGGGAGGGAAGTGCATCTTCCAAAGAAGAGTTGTAGCACTTATCATAGTCCAAGAAGCAAAGAGCAAACACAGCTAAATTCCAATACACAACTGACCTTTTCACATTGCGAAGTTTCCACTAGAGCTTTACTCTCCGAACTTTACTGTGCATCCCTTATCCGTAAACTTGATGCCAATGACAAGCCCTTTCTACCCTAAATGGTACTTAGAGAGATATCAGACTTTTCTTCACTGTTATCCTCTTTCCAGGCTCCACCAGCTTCTGGGCAATGGAAGGAAGCCAGAAATGACAGGGATTTAGGATGACAAGGCAACAGGCTCAACGTATTTCAGGTGAGCAACCCTTGGAGACAGCCTTGTTCCAGACACTGCTAGGAAACAGAGAAAGAGAGAACAATACTCCTGTCCACCTCCTGGGAGAACCAACCTGGCCCTCTGGAACACCTTCTCTGAGGAAGTAGGAAACATCCACTCACTTAGCAAGTTCTGCATGCTTACTCTATAGAAACATTAGTGTATGGAACACTGGTGTTATTGGGGCACAGGGTAATCTGCTAGATACTCTTAGAAAAGATTAGGCTTAGTCATGTAAGCCCTCCAAGTGCAGATGGAGACATCCTGGAGGCCTAATATGGGAAGAGAATTTACAATTTCCCTGGAGTATCAGGGCTCAGCTTCTTCTTGGCTTTCTCCCGATTGTTCAACTAGCAATAAGGAATGGAAGTACAATATCACCTGTCCTCTAAAGTGGTGGAAAAACAGGATCATCAGAAGACATTATGGTGGCTTAGGGGGCACATAGATTTTATACATCTAAACTAGAGATCTCATCACCGTTTTTAAATTCCCTACAGCTTATAATACTGGACTGAAATAACGACCCCCCCCCGAAATGTGTATCTCTCAACATTTGATCATATTGTTCCTTCTCCCTCCCAAACCTCCCTAAATCCCGCTTCAAGGCTCAACTCAGTGCTCTTCCCTCTGAGGCTGCTTCTGATCCCTTTCAAAATCAATCCCTTCCTTGGCTCTCTGAACTTCTCTTACGTTGTTATCAGATACTGCCTTTTGTAAGTCACCAGTGTCTGCCTGCCCCTTGCCCTTCATGTTTCCAATGTCCAGTCATTTCCATCTCCCTCCTTGAATCCAAAGTTTCTTGTGTAGGTGTTTTTGTTAATCTTTGAATAGTGCTTAACAAGACATGTCAAGACTCACAACTTACCTCACTCAATCCTCCCAACTCTGAGGGATAAGCAGGCATGGATTGGTTTTTTTCCATTTCACACATGAAGAAACTTAAGACTCAGTGGATATATAACTTGCCCAAATTGCAAATCCCAGATTGTAGGTTGCAAAGTTGAGTTCTGCCATACTCACAGGCTGGAAAGAAATTCCAATCTATGTTTGAGATGCTTCTGGAAGAATTTGGATTTCAAACCTAAGGCCCAACAATACACAGAAACTGAAAGATTACAGCCAATAGTATCAAGTTTATTATTTCCAAGACCAAAACTGTGCTTTAGGAGACTCAAGGTCGCAGACACTGGCTCAGAAAGAGACGAGGTCTCTGGAATGGGAGGCAGAAGGTCTCAGTTCAAATCCCTCCATGGTCCTGTTTCCCCACCCTTAACAGGTAGGAAGATGGTGGCTGGACCAGCGGCTCTAAGGATCCTTTGTGCAATCCACGAGTCCTTGCTAATAACATCCCTGGTGTCTGTGGGAGCTGTGGGTAGGACAGACTGAAAACGCTCCTTCCACTTGGCAAATCTGCAGTTTGGTGGGCCAGAGGATGAGCTGAGGGTCGGGCTGAGGGGTTTCGGGACGGGGATTAAGCTAGAACAAAGAACACGGAATACAGTGCCCCGCTTTTCCGAAGACCTCTGGGGTAAAACCCGGGAAGGAAGCACGGAGAGTCGAGCGGTATGAGGCGGGGAGACAGTCCTGCGTTCCCACCAAACCCCGTCGGGGATGCGCTGGTATCCCCGGAAGTTTCCTGCTGCCCTCTGGGCCTGTCTCATTACGTGTGTCACGGGGTAGGGTCAATACCAGCGCCAACAGCGGGCAGGAACAGCCCGGGACCACGGCTCCCACTCCTGGCAACCTGAGGAAGCTCCACGACTAACCCGATGACCTCCCCACCAACAGCAGCTTCCAACGATTCCTGAACAAAAGATGCGCCGGAAGCGAATTCCTCTCCGATCTTCAGGCCCTTGGAGCCACTTCCGGTTCTGTCTAGGAAGCTCGGAGGCCTTCTTATCTTGTTGGTCTCCGCGCCAGGGTTTGGCTCCTCGCGGGATCACTAAGGCCAGAAGACCTAGAGAATCTCTGCCTTTCCCGAGTCTACCCCGAGGCCATGTTCTGTGACCATCGTTGACACACCACCAGCAGGAAGAAATCTGAGAGTAATTAAAGAATGAAGAATGAATGAGGGTTAGAGATAGGATCCTAAAACAGAAAAAAAAAGAGGAGGAGGTGGTCTGTAGACCTGAATTCAAAGCCTTCCGTGCCCTTTTCATCCAGTAAAATTGTTACCCAGGAAGCAGGACATTTGCCGAGGCTCAGAATCCTCGACTGTAAACTAATGATTCTGTCTTACAGAGGCACTGGGGTGGCAAAGCAGATAAGCAGATACAATTGATGTCTCAATCTCTTTCCTTCCAAGCCCCTCAGTATAGCTGGCAATCAAAACCCAGACTGAACAGATTCTTTCCCTGCTTAAAAACCTTCCACAGCAGCCTGGATCAAGGACACATTTCTTAGAGGTTAGGCCAGGCTCTGTACTGGACACCAGGGAAATAAAGGTGGACTGACTTGTCTTCCGGCCAAGACAGATATTCAAACCAGCCAGGCTTAGAGTTTGTGCCTTGGGACCCAACTGTGAACCAGAGAGACGTGGTGGCAGCCCACGTAAGGCTTACTGTGCATGGGGGAAGCTGACAAGTAAAGTGTTAACCTGGTGTGACAAATAAGGGCCGTGACAAGCACATGGCAGGCCACCACGGGAGCACAAAGGAAGGGGCACCTAATCCAGGTGGGGAGATGGGGTCCCGGGACGTCTTCCTGGAGAATGGAGTTTCTCAGCTAATTCTTGAAGGATAAGGAGAAGTTTTCAAGGTGATAGGACAGTCTCTTTGCTCTCTTGGCTAGAGCTTGGACCTCATACATTCCCATTCAAGCATAGTAGCTGGGGTCTCCTGCCCATATTACAACTATCCCCCCACAGGGGACAGTTCTAGGACCCCCATCTTATTTTCAGGGTGTGTAAGAGTGTCCTGGCTGTTGAAAAGGGGACTGTCCACACAGATGATGTCAGAAGGTATGAGCAGTTTGGGGACAAAGAATCTCCAGACCTGACCATGCTCCTCTCTTTGTGGTCTCCTTAAATCCCAAAGGTCCCTAGGAACATCCTTCTCACAGCTGCCCTCACACCAGGCAGGACTTAACACAGGGAAGTGAACAGTGGTGATGATGCAGAGCAGCATAGTAAGTGGTATAGGTATTTTCTATTGTTTTTTGTTGTCATTATTATTGTGATTACATACAAATGGGGCAAAGACTCAGCAATAATCTGGATACAGGGTATAAAGAAGTGTGAGTAAACATGATACTAGAAAACACCTATAATACCTACAATGTGCCAGGCACATTCTAAGTGCCATATATATATATATATATATATATATATATATATATATATATATATATGATCTCATCCAATCCTCATATCAACTCTATGATTTAGGTATCATTATTATTATTCTCCTTATTTTACAGATGAGGAAGCTGTAGCACAGAGAGGCTAAGTAGCTCTCCTATGGTCACCCAGCCCATGGTATGACATCCAGGGTTCTAGTTTGGGCTCTTGGATGAATGATAGTGCCCTTTATAGTGATGTGAATGTGAGTGGAGCTTCAGGGTTGGGGGTAGATGGTGAGTTCCGCTTCAGGCACATAGAACTGGGTTACTTGTTCTATTAGCTCTCATACCAAAGCTAGTGTGATAGTTTCCCAGAGAGGTCAGGGGTGGTGTTCCCTCAGGTATTCTGGGACTGTCTTTGGCCCAAATATAGGTTTCCCAAGGTGCTATATGAGGGGCGTCATGGAGCATGTCTCCTCCACTGGAACCCAATCCAGTCATGGTAGGTTAGACCCACAGTGCTGGCCACAGAGGAACCTATGAAGTGTGGACACACTTCCCAGATGAAGCTGGCTCTCACAGACAATGAAAGCCAACCACCTGGGCATGAAACAGCTCTGAGGAATGAAAAAGCTTAATCTTGTTTTCCAGATCCCTAAGTCTCCTACATACCAGGCAGCCAGGACAACGCATCATCAGGGAAACCTGAAAAAGAGATGATAGCATTTGGCCTGGCCTTAAGAGATTTCCTTCTCGATATCCCTGAGTCTCTGAGGCCTTAATGGGCCAGTGGGCCACACGCAGTGGCAATGTCAGGCAGAAGCTAGGACCAGATAGCCAAGACCTCCCTGTGAGGTTTCCAAATGTAGAGAGTGACCTTGATATCAGAAGGCCACTCATCAGGATCAGTGGGCAAAGACTGCTCTAAGAGACCTCTTTAAAGACTGTAAAAACCCTGCAGTAGGTCTTCTTATGCCTTCGTTTCTGTCCTGGCTTATGCAGAGATGTGATGGACACATGTCAGGTCCAGAGGTAGACCCAGTACATCCTTGGGATATTGCTGATGGCCTGGACAGCACAAGTTACTGTTACTTCGGACCCTGTAAAGGAACTACTTGCTGGGCTACAACAAGATATTGGGTTGGCCAAAAAGTTCATCAAGGTTTTTCCGTAAGATGTTATGGAAAAACCCGAGCGAAACTTTTGGCCAACCCAATGCATAAGATACATAGTTAACTCCATTGGAAATGTGGCTGATGTTATCCTTTGCCCTTTGTTTCTCTTTGGAACTCAAGTTTTTTTTGAATATATTTTTTTCATATGTCCTTTTACTGCCTCAAGTTGCAGAGGCTTTTCGTTAGCCCCATATATCATTCGTTTTTGGAGGTTGTGCCTTCAGAGCCTCCTCAATCCTTTTAGCAGCAGGGACCTGTTCACATGCTTCTGTATGCAAACCATTCTTCCAGGTGAAGTCCACCTGGGTAACACCTGCCTCCCAGATATTAGACTAGACAATTGCATCTAGATTATGTTGTCTCCATAACTTCCCACTTTTTATTGGCTCCTTGGCCCTCCCTAGGGGGCCTCTCCTTGGACACCAGAGTGCTTGTTCTGTTTTAGGAAAGATTAACCACACCTGCGGCCAAAATATCACAATCTCTGGGCTCATTTCTTCTTTAGTAAGACGGAGATACCTGTTGCTCATTTCATTAAGACTCACACTGGGTGAAAATGCCCTGGGCATCACATACAGTATAATAATATCTGACTGCGCGCTCAGGATATGTCAGGTCTTTTGCTGTGTAGTGTCCTTATGTTACCCCTTTCAGTTCTCACAGCCGTGTCAGGCACAGGCTGTGCTCTTCATTTTTCAGATGAAAAAACAGGCTCAGAGGTTAGGTTTTCTTTCCCAAGGCCACCAGGAGGGGAAGGGACAAAGCTGGGGTGAGGCAGGGTCGCCCAGTCCTAGAATGGTCTGAGAGCAGCACGTGTGCAGCCTGAGGCCTCAGTTGAGACCCCCTCCCCGCTGGCGCCCCTGTGCCCCAGCCAGGCCCGGAGGGGGCGGTCTCCGCGCCCAGCTGTGTAGCTGCGGGGTCGCGGGGTCGCGGGCGCCCACTTTCTCAACCGAGACTTCCGGGATCCTGGAGGGGCCGGAAGCGGGGCCTCTCTCGCTTCCGGCCCGGCCATTGTTTTCGCTTACGCCGGCCGCGGCGGAGTCTGGTGTTCGGGAGTCGCGGGCGCGGTGCCCCGGTGAGCGGGCCCGGGGCGGGGGGAGAAGTGTTGCTGGGGCCCGGGGCCGCTAGGCTGGAGCTGCGGCCGCCCACAGCCCAGGTCGGCTACGCCAGCCCGACCCACTCTTCGCCCCCGCGGCTGGCGGCGCGGTCCCCGTGACGCTCAGAAGCCGCCAGATATAGAGCCGCCTCTTTGTCCCAGTTCCCTGACCAGCCGTGCCTGGCACCGAGCCCAGCACCTGCGGGTACAGCGATGAGCAGGGCAGACGTGGCCAGGTGAGCGGCGCCGCAGAAGCCTGGTCGAACGCGAAATGTAGATAGACGTTTTCCCAGCCTTGCGCTGGAAGACAGTACGAAGCGTCAGAAGTGGGTCAGACCCAGTCAGAATTTCAGACGTGAAGTATAGCTTGGAGAGCCAAAAATCCAGATGAGATGAGGGGCTGAGCATTCGGAGCAGTAAGGGAAGTAGGAAAATGGCCTGAACTTTCTATGTATTTCAGAGCAGACTCACAGATTTTTAAGTCTGTCTTTGTCTTTTTAAAGAAATTGAGCCCTGGAGAGAGTAGCTTATCCAAGGTACCAAGATGCATGGTGAATTGGAAGCATAGCACAGATGCCCTAGTTACCACTAAGGTGCTGATTTTCAGGGTTTTACAGTATGTAAACTGGATAAAAGTCGCCCCCACCCCCAACTTCAGTATCATTCGTTCGCTTCCCACATATGTGCCTCTGTATGCCAAGTACACACACACGTACAAAGATGACTGGGAACCAGCTCTGCCCTTTGAGTCCTCCCATAAAGTGGAGGAGGCAGTCGTCTAAGTCCCAAACACAGTGTGAGAAGTGCTCTAGCAGAGGTTTGAAGAAAAACGTACTGTGGGTTCACTGAGGCAGTAACCACACTTAAGCCTGGAGAGATCAGCAAGGCTTTCTAGGGGAAGTGGGTTGAGTAGAAGAAGGTCTGGCATTTCTTACTCCATTGGGTTCCTTTTCTTTTGTGGCCATCCAGCAGTTTGGAGGGTGTGAGTGTTGAGTTGTGCATAAATTAGTTAAAATACAATGTTACACTGAGAAGTACGGAGAGGGAGGTGACCAGCTCCCCTTCCTGCATGGGGCAATCAGGAATGCCTTCAAGAGAAAAATAAAATTTGTTCTGGGTCTTGACAGGTGAGTAGGTGTTTGTCAAAAGTTTCAGAAGCAGAAAAATCCAGAGAAAGTATGTGTGGCTTCTAGCTGTGTCTTTAGAGCTTTAGTCGCTAACTTTCTTTATTGTGCATCTCTATTACAAAAGAGTAGAGTAGAAGAGTTTTGAGCATGCATTTCCAACATAGGTTTATTTGTGAGTTAAAGGTATGTACTGTTGTACAAATTTCAGTGCACATTATAAAACATCCACTAAATAGTTAAATAACAACTTAGTATTTCTTTATCTGCCTTTTGGATTAGCTTGCATATCTCACATTTGGAGATCATTGCAGTCTTTCTAGCCTGGTGGGTACCTGGGGAAAGTGGTAGGGGGTGTGGCTAGAATAGAGGCCTCAGGCCAGGTTGTGGATGCTACGCATAGACATTTAGGTTTTATCCTGTAGGTGATGGGAGCCACTGAAACTTTAAGGAAGTTACTTGGAGAGATGCTTAGAGAGACTGCCCTGGTTGTGCTCCTTTTTCTTTTTTCCAGAGCTTTGCTTTTTAACTGTGGAGGGTCTGTCATCTGCCTGGGGCTGAGCACTCTGGGGACTCTGATTTCTCTCTTGATGTTTCTGTAGGTGACGTTCCCATCACCCTACATCCTCAACTCTGACAACAGCTTCTGAGGTCTGAATTACAGATCATCATTTTAATCGGACAAACCACAACTGAAACAAGCTTCTCTTTGGTGTCACGATGGCCGCCCAAGGCAGGGGAACTTCAGGCCTCATCCCCAGGGGTGCTGTTCTCCAGCGGCAGGAGGGGCGCTTGACCGTGAAACAGGAGCCAGAGAGCCAGAGCTGGGGACAGGGCTGCAGTCTCCAAAAGAATCACCCTCCTGTCTGTGAAATTTTCCGGCTGCACTTCAGGCAGTTATGTTATCATGAGATGTCTGGGCCGCAGGAGGCGCTGAGCCGGCTCCGGGAGCTCTGCCGCTGGTGGCTGATGCCGGAGGTGCACACCAAGGAGCAGATCCTGGAGCTGCTTGTCCTAGAGCAGTTCCTGAGCATCCTGCCAGGGGAACTGCGGACCTGGGTGCAGCTGCATCACCCTGAGAGTGGTGAGGAGGCTGTGGCTGTGGTGGAGGATTTCCAGAGACACGTTAGTGGACCAGGAGAGGTGAGCGGCCGAGTCTAGAATGGCATCTGGAACCATTCTATACTGCTTGGGGTAGCCTGAGAATAGACATTCTCCATTCCCTAGGCCCTGAGCTGGTTTGCCTTTGGGATTCCTGAACCAGTGCCATGTATAAAGGGGAAAGAGTTTTGTGCTCCTAGCCTTAAACAAAAATGCAGATCCCAGCCACGCTCTGTGAATTACTTTGTGAAGTGCTGTGTCGTGAACCTAGCTGCAGCCTGGAGCTCCACAGAGTGCTCCTGACAGGCAGAGGATCCGCACACTGGTTAGAATAGGGAAGCATGTCAGGGAGAAGTAGCCCGTAGGGTATGCTGATAACATGGGCCCTCATTTGAGAAGTTCTCATTACTTCCTCGGATTTCTCCAAGTTACTGTGCTGTTTTCCTGCCTTTTAGGTTCCTTATGAGGTGTAACAGTTCTGGGCCTCATCATCATTTTGTTCTTTTCTAGCTTTCCAAACTCAACTGGGATCTTTTTGCATCTTTAATTCTATTTTTGATTTTCCCTACTTTCTGGGGTTCTCTCAAATTTTAAGCCAGGGTAACTCAAAAGGAAAAGTTGGAGAGTTAGCAGTGTCATAACAGTGGGAAATCTGGCTTCTAGGATCACAGAGCTAACTAGTTCAGTGACTATGTGTATTAGTCAGGGTTCAGCCACAGAAGCAAAACCAGTAGGAAATTATGTATATATACATACATATATATATTGCTAGAAAGTGACCTGTCATTGGGGGAGTTGACAGGTCAAGTCAGAAATTTGTAAGGTAGGCCGTCAGAAAGTTCAGGCTAGAACTCTCAGGCATAGGCTGAAGCTGCTGTCCACAAAGAGAATTCCTTCTTCATGAAACTTCAGCTCTGATTTTAAGGCCTTGCAACTGATTGAATCAGGCCCATCCAGATTATCTGAGATAACCTCCCTTACTTAAACTGATTATGAATTTTAATCACTTGTACACCATACCATCACAGCAACACCTAGTTTAGAGCTAAACTGACATCAAAAGACCATCACACCATGGATGAGTCAGTTCTTCCTGATGAGTCTCCAGTTGCTCCCTTGTAACTGAGCAGGATGGATTAGGGTCCCCTCTACTTTTCCTCCTTTGTGCTTTACCAGGGAAAACCAGTACCAGTGAAATTTCCTTAGTACCCAGTACATCATTTTTATTCAGTGCTTTTTCAAAACTGATTACATATCTAGGCCTAGGGAATGAATTCCAATTGATTGGAGTTCTAGGGCTAGACTTTTTCCAGAGGTAATAGCCAGTACCCTCTGACAGTATCAGATACATTGTCAATCGTTATTTCCTTGTTTAAACAAGTAAACACAGGGATAAATCAACTATCAGTAGGGTCTAGAGAGCAGCTAGGCCCAACCGTAGGCAAGGACAAGTGGTTGAAGAAATGTTTAGAGTGCTATTTAGTGAGGAGGGTAGAAGGAAAATTTCCCTATCTCCTGCCTTCTTTTGCTTAAGCAGAAGAGAATATAGCCTCCATTAAAACTGTCTTTTATCCAGGGAGCCTCAGAAGAAAGGTGACTGAGTCACAAACCCAAGAGAGTGACTAACAGTTGACAGTCAGGGCAGCTGAACACTCATGGCTCTAGCCTAGAAGTGGGATCTTTGGAATCTATTTCTTACTCTGCCACTGTCATCAGCTTAAGTTTTCTGACATAAGGACATGAGAACAGGACTATCTCACCTAGCCTGGATTCAGAAAATGTTTTTACGACTAAATGAAAAAACAGGCGTTTTCGTGGGAGTTTGCCAGGAGGAGATTAAGGAATGTCATTCTGATCAGCAGAAGTGAGCATGCACATGTGTGCACATTGGGGCTGGAGAGAGTGGTAGAGGCATCCCTACTGGGCTGCAGAATTTACAGAATGCTTTTATATCTTTTTTAATTTGAGCTCCTAGCAGGCTTACAAGGTATGCAGATAGTAATCATTATCTCCATTTGACAAGCGATGCAAACGTGGAGAAGTTAACTGGCTCATCTAAGGTGACAGAGCTAGTAAGCAGTCCCTTTGTCCATGTGTGTGGGAACCAGGATTTTCCAGCTCCCTAGATTCTAAGCCACTACCTTTTCCCTAATGTCTTGCTGTGGAATGCCATCTTGGAATGAAAATTGGAATGGGGTTTTCATGGCCTGCGAGGAGAGGACACTTATGAGTCCTAGGTAATGAATAGGAACTTTATCAGGATTTAATTGTCAGTGAATTACAAGGTTGTGTTATCACAGTGCAGTTAAGTTCTATCTTCTGCCAGTACCCACAGCTGCTGTATTTAAGAGCTCTAAGTCCCATTTATAAGAACCATCCATGGGAGAGCTGGGGAACCTCAGACTGCAGGGAGCCTCTTGGACCTACCATTCCATTGGAGAGATACACACTAAAGGAGAGAGCCCCCTAACGTCTCAGCAGATGTTACCCAGTAGGGCAAATCCATGTGTTTTGTTGAAGGAGAAGTTATTTTCACCTTATGCTCTGCTATGTACATGCCAGAGTGAATGAGCTTATAAATGTGATTTATTTAAGATAATCAACAAGGACCTACTGTATAGGACAGGGAACTCTGCTCAATATTCTTTAATAACCTATAAGGGAAAAGAATCTGGAAAAGAATGAATATATATGTATGTATAACTGAATTGCTTTGCTGTACCCCTGAAACTAACACAACATTGTAAATCAACTATATTTCAATTTTTAAAAAGTGATTTATTGGGCTTCCCTGGTGGCGCAGTGGTTGAGAGTCCGCCTGCCGATGCAGGGGACATGGGTTCGTGCCCCGTTCCGGGAAGATCCCACATACCGCGGAGCGGCTGGGCCCGTGAGCCATGGCCACTGAACCTGCGCGTCTGGAGCCTGTGCTCCGCAACGGCAGAGGCCACAACAATGAGAGGCCCGCGTACCGCAAAAAAAAAAAAAAAGTGATTTACTTAGATAATGTTTTAGATTTTCTGCTCCAAATGCTGGTACAAGTAGTAACCATGAGATTGTGAGGAACTGATTTGATGACAACAAGCAAGGGTTAGAAAATAAAAGGTCTGTGCTCTGAGATATTCTCGAGGTCTCTAAAGATTCGGTGTTATGTGATCCTATTTGACTTTTCTTTTTAAATTTTTTTTTTCTGTTTGACTTTTTGTATAAATTTTTGGGGAGAGGTAGTACATATTGAAAACCAAGTTTGCAGATAACTCTTAGCAAAATATTGAGAGGAAGTCAGTCAGCAAATATTAATTGAATATCACCATTGGACTAAGCATTGTTCTGGGAGCTAGTGACCAAGACAGAGTGCTAACCCTCAAAACGCTTATACTTCATTGGCAGAGAAATAGACAATAAAGGTATAAATAAGATAACTTAAAGACTAATGTATGCTCTAGAAAACATAACCAGATAATTTGAGAGAGTGTGACTATCCTTGCTTTGTCAGTGTGGTCAGGGATGGCTTCTCTGAAGAGGAGACACTTTTGCTGAGAGAAGTTGGAAAAGCTGAGGTTTGTCAGCTGCTGTTCTGGGGTATTGCTCCAGCTGTCGGCCTCAGTAGCATTATTTGTGCACATACAGGTACATACACCTGTCACTTTTTACTTCCTTGGTGCTTCTGATTGATCTATGCTGTAGGCTGAGGCCCTAGGGAGTGTACTGAATTACTTTCCTAACTCCTTTTTCCAGGGGGTTCTTCATAAGCAAATGTGTGTCTGAAGCACTGACACAGAGTAGAAATGGTTATATAATCTGGTCTTGAAGCTCCTACCGAAAGGGTCAACAGAGGGATAGCAAATAGGATTGTAAGCTGTAGATCCTGCTTTGGCATTTTTGCCCCAGTTGGCTTACTGGTGGGGCTAGAAGGACCCTCTGACTCTTCTCTCCCTGGCTTCCTCTCGTGGGGGTGCTTCTTAGAGGTTTTGGGTTCTGTACCTTCAAGGATGCTCTTTTGGACCCAATTTTATTTCCTTGTCTCTAGGTTTCAGCTCCAGCACAGGAACAGGAAATGCATTTGGAGGAGATGACAGCCTTGGGTGCAACAGAGGAATCTCCTCCTACCTCACTCCTCAGTGAGGGTTCGGCACCCGGAGCCCACCTGGAGCCTCCTGGTGACCCTGGGGCACACCACCACCTCCCCAGTGGGCACTCTGGTACTCACTCCACCCACTTTGGCCTTAAGTCATTCCTCCTTTCTCTCTTTCGGAGTCTCCTTTCCTTCATCTCCCCATCTCCCACCCCATTGGAGTCCCTTATTGCCCTGCCCTGTGTCTTCCTTCCCTAGTGACTTTGTTCCTTTTGCTTATTCTCCGATCATTCGTGTATTTAGCACATTTTTGTCAAGCACGTTTCATGGCAAAGGCACTGTTGAGGACAAGAGAGATATAGTACGCCGGCACTCTTCCAAAGAGCTTGTTATCTAGTTGGCAGAGAGTCAGTCCTAAGTGCAAGAAGAGGCAGCCTCATAAGGTACATGTGAGTGATATCTGTCTGCAGGCATTTGATGCCATCACGAATGAGCCATGTGGACATTGTAAACGGTGAGCGAGATCATGGAGGGCTGAAGCAAAGACACTCGCTAAGTGGGAGTTCCTTGGACCCCATTGAGGTCGGGTCAGGAAGGACTTATTTGGGAGCCTGGGGTCTGCTTGTGCAGGGCCTTTGGGTGGAGACCAGGAAGAATTTGGGGGCAGGGGATTGAAGTGTTAGAAACAGTATTTCAGAAGGATTACTGTGGCACATGAGCACTGTGGGTTGAGTGTGGAGACCAGTGACTGGGAGCCTCACTAGGAGGCTAGTGTAGAACAGATGTGAGGCACTAATTGCGTGAGTGGGTTTGAGTGGAATGGAAAGTGATAGATGTGACACATATTTGAACGAAGAATCCATGGGACAATGGAGAGGAGGGAGAATTAGCGGGTTTTGGCTGATGTTTGGAATCACTGAGAAAACTTGGGAAGTCAGGAAAGGAAGATGGAAACATGCACTTTAGACACTGAATTTCAGGTGTTGTGGGACACCCAAGTGAAATGTCCAATAGGCAACTGGAGGCTTGTGATATGGGTCTCAGAGGGAACTGAGAGCTTAAGAGCAGAGATTGGGAGTCGTGAGATCTCTGAGAGAGGGAAAGGGGAAGCTCTGAGGCCTGAACGCCTGCAGTGTCCGTGATGAGAGGGCAGGTGCAGGAAGAGAAGCCAGGGAATGAGAGGCAGAGAGGTGAGGGGGAGGCCAGGCAGACTGCTGCTGGGGAAGCCACGGGAGACAGAAGGTGGTCAGGAGTGTAGCTTCCTTCCGAGAGTGGGAGAGAGAGGGCTGGAAGGAACCGCCAGTTCGGTTTGAACAGGGACCTTCTTGCCTTCAGGAAAAGTTCACAGCTCACAAAGGATAATGCCTTTATGGAACAGGGATGAGGGTCCGTGTATGTGGAGCCACCTGGGTTCTCCTGAATCCACTTGCTGGGATCCAGACCTCATTGGCGCCAAGAGCAGGGCTGGTCCCACTCAGAGCTTTCTTTCCTCCCTCAGCTCAGCATGCTTCCCCGGTGCCTGCCCTTCCCCAAGTGGGGAACGTAGGAGACCAAGCAGCGGGAACTGTGCTCCGGATGGTCAGGCCCCAGGTGAGCTTCCTGAGTTCCAAGTCTGTGGCCCAGGAATAGCTAGAGCTCATCTCCGGGCCTCTGGCCCATTCTGAGTCTGCTCCTGTGGCTTCCCCTGGAGCTGGTCCTGTCCTAGATTTGTCCTTTTTTTTTTTTTGGCTGCACCCCACAGCTTGTGGGATCTTATAATAGTTCCCCAACCAGGGATTGAACCCGGGCCCATGACAGTGAAAGCACTGAGTCTTAACCACTGGACCACCAGGGAATTCCCCCTTTTAATCTGTCTTTCCCAGATTCCCTCCCTCCGCCCCGCCCCCACCCATTTTACCACCAGGTTCCCCGACCCTGTCCTCTTGGTGCCCCTAATGACTGCTTTCCAGGCTGGGAATGTCCCTGAGCAATAGAAGCTTGTCATTCCAGGAGGCTGCAGAGTTCGAGTTCCTGTCTGTGGACTATACTCAGAAGAAGTGGAAAGGTCCAGCTCTCAGCCAGAAAGCAGCCCTGTACCGGAACATCGTGCCAGAAAATTGCTGCAGCCTGGCTTCATTGGGTAATGACTCTGTTACCCAGTAACTTAGAGTCAGCCTTCTTTACATATTCTTTGCTATATTCTTTTTCTTTTTTTAACTTTTTATTATGAAAATATAAAGAGACAAAGTGGAGAGAATAGTATAATGAACCCCTCTACATCATCATCCACTTTAACCGTTATTAACATTCTTTTTACTCTCTTATTAATTGAACTGGGCTGGTTTAGTTAGCGTTTGTAGTTGGAAGGAATAGAAAGCCACTCAGTTGTAAGCAGTGAGCTAAGTTACTTACAGTAAGACTAAAGGAATGGAAACCTAGAACAAACTGACCAGCTAGACCAGACTTCGGGAAACAAAGCTTTGTAGGGACTTGGGAGCCTGGGAGCCACAGCAGCAAAAGTGAAAGGATTTTTACACCAGTGTTGTAAGACAGCTGTGCTCTGTGTATCTGTTTTCTCCTCCCTCTGATACCCATTCTCTTCACTCTGAATCTTTTGTCAGAGCTCCTTTTTAGTCATACTTTCTGTTTCCTCACACATTCTGCTTGCTTTGGCTCCCGATGGCTTGCCTTCTCTCCATGCATCATTTCAGCTTGGGCTTCTACTTGTAATTTCCTTCATCTTGTCCTACCTTCAGTTCAGAATTTATGTAGAGAGGAGCTCCAAGGGTGGTTCAGCCATTAAATAACATCTTTGTTTGAGCAGAACTTTGGTCCTTGCTGCACAGAGGCGGATGATTAATCTACAGATAAGCCACACTTGGGTCTAGTGCTTGGCCCTGTTCCAGTCACCTGTTGTCCATCATGGGCTGAGCTGGGTTGTTTGGCACAAAGCATGGTTGCCTCAGCTTCTCCTTCAGAAAGACTGGGGCAGGGCTGCTTCCTGGAAGGAGCTGTTGTCACGGCAGGTTCTGGGCTTCACGGCAGGTTCTGGGCTTGACCGGTCTAGGACAGTAGCCTACTCTGGGGAGGGTGGGCTTAGAAGTGAGAGATTCAGACATCTACCACTTGAACACACTCAATTAGCATGAAGGTTTATAGCCCTGATGTAGATGTCATTGAAAGGAACCAACATTTTTAGGTTAAGTTATAACCATAATTGCTCTGCCTTCTCCCAGTTTTTGTACTGAAAAATCCTAGAATTTAAAAGCAAATATTCAACTGCTCACTTTCCTTATGATTCCTGATTATCAAGATACCAAAAACATGTTTGATTTATATTTCAAGTTATTGATGCCATTCTTAGTTTTTGGGGGGTTTTTTTGATGTGGACCATTTTTGAAGTCTTTATTGAATTTATTACAGTATTGCTTTTGTTTTATGATTTGGTTTTTTGTCCTAGAGGCATGTGGGATCTTAGCTCCCCAACCAGGGATCAAACACGCACCCCCTGCATTGGAAGGCGAAGTCTTAAGCACTGGACTGCCAGGGAAGTCCCCCATTAGTTTTATTTATTTATTTATTTATTTATTTATTTTTGTCTGTGTTGGGTCTTAGTTGCTGCGAGTGGGCTTTCTCTAGTTGCAGCTTGTGGGGGCTACTCTTTGTTGTGGTGCACGGGCTTCTCATTGTGATGACTTCACTTGTTACGGAGCACGGGATCTAGGTGCACGGGCTTCAGTAGTTGTGGCACGTGGGCTTCAGTAGTTGTGGTGCACGGACTTAGCTGCTCCATGGCATGTGGGATCTTCCCGGACCAGGGCTCAAACCCATGTCCCCTGCATTGTCAGGCGGATTCTTAACCACTGCGCCACCAGGGAAGCCCCATTCCTAGTTTTTATAAGAGTGCAGTATTGTACTTACCAGTCAGTGCTCCAGGGACTATGGGGTGCCCAATTTTATAGCTTTGCTTTCCCCTTCAATACTTTTCCCCAGTATTTCTCTACCCATGACTTCTTCAAATCTTGTCACTGTCCTGTTACACCAGAATCACTCCTTTATATACACTTTTTCCTAATCATATCCTCATAATATAAATTTCCCTTCTACTCTCAGGTTTGCCCACATTGTTTCTCATATTTGATTTGAGGTATTTGCCACCACTTTCTCTCCCCAACATCTTTGCTGAGAAGTGTGGAACCATACAATGTCATGGTTGGAAAGGACCTTAGGGTTCATCATTTTACTAAGGAGACGTCGCATCTAAGTGACTTCTGGAAGATCACACCATGCTTTACAGTCTGGTCTCTTGCCTTTCAACTGGCCTGTTCACCTGGCTGTGCTGGCTCAGCATCCCTCTGTCCTGATAGCTCTTCTTCTGCCTTCCTCCACTGACCAGCTTCCCCTCATTGTTTTTCTGTCCATGAAGAGAAATTTGAGCTGTTTTCTCATTTTCTCTCCTGTTCTCAATGTGTCTCCTCATTTCTTACCCATAATATGAATTTTTTTTTAGGTACATAGGCTCCTGATAGTTCATTTCCTCAGTAGGGTAAGAGTGAGTAACAGTTGTTTTCTTCTTTCTTTTGGCAGCAGGTGAGAACAGGATGGAGAGTTCAGAGTTGCCTCCAAAGCAGGAAATTTCTGAAGAAACGGAGTCATCTGATAGGACCTCAGGAGTACTCTATGGAGTGATTCCAGGAGGACCAGAAGCTGGAGATGCCTGTGAAGAGGCTTTAGAGAAGCTAGAAGTTCAACCCTCAGGCAAACAAGGGAGCAGACTGAAGAGTGATTTCTTGGAAATAACACAGGAGGTTAAAAATAAATGCACAAAAGATGAATGTGATGTATATAAGGAACTTGAGGAACATCCAGATCTGTCCTCAAGTCCTGCAGAACATCAGGAAATTCTGAAGGGACAGAAATTCTATCACTGTGATGAATGTGGCAAAGCTTTTAATCGGAGTTCTCACCTCATTGGGCATCAGAGAATCCACACTGGAGAGAAACCCTATGAGTGCAATGAGTGTGGCAAGACCTTCAGGCAGACCTCTCAGCTCATAGTCCATCTCAGAATCCACACAGGGGAAAAGCCGTATGAATGCAGTGATTGTGGAAAGACCTATCGCCACAGCTCGCATCTCATTCAACACCAGAGACTCCATAATGGGGAGAAATCATATAAATGTAACGAATGTGCAAAAGCTTTCACTCAGAGTTCTCAACTCATTGACCACCAGAGAACCCATACTGGGGAGAAACCCTACGAATGCAATGAGTGTGGGGAGGCCTTCATTCGGAGTAAAAGCCTTGTCCACCATCAGGTACTTCACAGTGGTGAGAAACCTTACAAGTGTAATGAGTGTGGGAAAGCTTTCTGTTCCAACAGAAATCTTATTGACCATCAGAGAATCCACACTGGGGAGAAGCCTTATGAGTGTAATGAATGTGGCAAGGCCTTTAGTCGAAGTAAATGTCTTATTCGACATCAGAGCCTCCACACTGGGGAAAAACCATTCAAATGCAGTGAGTGTGGGAAAGCCTTCAATCAGAACTCTCAACTTGTTGACCATGAGCGAATTCATACTGGAGAAAAACCTTTTGAATGTAATGAGTGTGGTAAGGCATTCAGTCTGAGTAAATGTCTCATTCGACATCAGAGACTTCACACGGGTGAAAAGCCCTATAAATGCAAAGAGTGTGGAAAATCCTTCAATCAAAACTCACATCTCATTATACACCAGAGAATTCACACTGGTGAGAAACCTTATGAATGTAATGAATGTGGGAAGGTCTTCAGTTATAGCTCCAGTCTTATGGTACATCAGAGAACTCATACTGGGGAGAAACCCTATAAGTGCAAAGATTGTGAGAAGGCTTTTAGTGACAGCTCACAGCTCATTGTGCATCAGAGAGTTCACACTGGAGAGAAACCCTATGAATGTATTGAATGTGGGAAAGCCTTCAGTCAGCGTTCTACTTTCAATCACCACCAGCGAACTCACACTGGAGAAAAGCAGTCAGGTCTGGCTCGGTCTGTTTTTTAAGACGTGATTCTCTAAGACAGCAAGGAACTCTGAGTTAAGGTTTCTATAGAAGAAGTATGCTCACTCTGGTCTCCTCTTGGAACCACTAATCAAAGTGGATCATTCCTTAAACGTTCTCTGGTGGTCAGGAAGGTGGGAGAGTGGGAGTAACAGTATGGTCCTTCCCCACTAAGGACTACACATTTCATGTGCTTGTAGATTTCTTTCCTTCTTTCTTTTATTTCATCTGTTTAAAAATCTATCTCATTTCTTACTTAGGTGTCCCAAAATCAGAACGTGTACTTCTCAAGGACAGAGGTATTTCCTTATTGTGTTCCACTTCCTCCGTTTTACCATTTACATAAAGTCATTCTCCAAGGTACTGATTCATTCTTTCTTTCTCTTGGCTGTGGCCCTCCTTATTCTACTTTTTGACCTTCTAATATAGTCCCTCATCACTTATGTTCCCTGTCTAGAAAATCTTTTTTCTTTTCTTTTGCTAATATGTGTCCCTCAGAACCTGCCAGATCCAACTCATCTCTGAAAGACTTTCTTCTTCAAATACGTCTTCATTCATCTTAAACTGCTATTCGTTGGACCTCAGTGCTTTGACTTAGCTGGTGCTATGTGTACAACTGTTGTTAAATTGTGTTGTAAATTATTCTGTATTTAATGCATATGTGTTCATACCAACTTATAGGCTCTTTGAGGTTGGGTATAGTATCTATTTCTTTTAGTATATAGATAATAATTTTCATATGGTAGTTGTTTAATAAATACCTTTTGAAAACTCAGCTCTGTAATTGAATCATCCTTAAATTGGACACAATCTCCCCTCCCCCCATCCCCACCAGACTAGAAGCTTCTAAAGATAGAAGTGACATCTCTTCATAGGATATCTCATATAAAGCCCTCATTGATATCTTCTACGTGTACCCCTGGAAGTTTCACTATTGTTACTTCATTGTTGGTTTCTCATAAATATTCTATTGGGTTTAGGAAGTTTCCTTCTTTTCCTATTTTTTTCTTTGTTTGTTTTGGCCATTCTGCACAGCATGCAGCATCTTAGTTCCCTGACCAACGATCAAACTCACATCCCCTGCATCTGAAGTTCAGAGTCTAAACCACTGGACCACCAGGGAAGTCCCTATTCCTATTTTTAGAAGCAGCAATATAATACAGTAGTTAAGAGAATAGATTTTTGTGCCTGGTACTCGAGGTTCAAATCCTGACTCCTTACTTTCTTACATGTGTGATCCTGAGTAAGTCATTTAGTTTCCTTGTGCCTAGCTCTTCCATATATAAAATGGAACTACCTCAGGGCTGTGAGGGTTAAATTAGTTCATAAGTGTAAGGCACTTAAAACAGTGCTTGGCACATACTATACCCTATAATTATTATTATTGTTTTGTACTTTGAGTTTTTGTTATGGTTTTTAAGTTCTACCATTTTTTTAAAAAAAATCTGTAATTTCATGGATAATGTCCTTTATTTTTGTAATTTTAGGGGGAGCAAGTTTCTAGATAATTGAAATTTCCTTGCATTCCTGGAATAGAATCCATTTGTTAATGTTTTAAGTACAGAACCAAGTTGAATTTACTAATAAGGTTTTGCCTGCCTTGCAAAGTGTATTTGTTTTTCTTTAATTACTCTGGAAGAGCTTGAATAATGTGGGAATTATTCTTTGAACAGTAAAAATAACTGGGCTTGATCCATTTTGGGGGATGAGGGAATTGAGAGGGAAAAGTCTTTTTTTTTTTGTCCTGCCCCACCCCAAGAAGCATAAATCTTTAGCAACATTTTGATTTCTTCAATTACTGCCCTCTTTAAGTTTCTACCTCTGTAACTTTTGGTGAGCTCTATCTGGAAATCATCCTTTCTACTGGACTGTCAGAGAGTGGCATAAAGCTGCACCTAGTATTCTGTAAAGTTATTTTTTTTTTTTTTTTTGGCAGTGCGCAGGCCTCTCACTGTTGTAGCCTCTCCCGTTGCAGAGCACAGGCTCCGGACGCGCAGGCTCAGTGGCCATGGCTCACAGGCCCGGCTGCTCCGTGGCACGTGGGATCTTCCTGGATCAGGGCACAAACCCGTGTCCCCTGCATCGGCAGGTGGACTCTCAACCACTGCGCCACCAGGGAAGCCCTGTAAAGTTCTTTTATTCTCTTTTGTATATGTAGTTAGGGCTGTGTTTCATCCACAGTTTTTTTTATATAGATTTTATTTAGTTATTTATTTTTTAGGCTGCACTGGGTCTTCCTTGCTGTGCGCAGGCTTTCTCTAGTTGCGGCAAGCAGAGGCCACTCCTTGCTGCAGTGCACAGGCCTTTCACTGCAGTGGCTTCTCTTGTTGCGGAGCATGGGCTGTAGGCCTGCAGGCTTCAGTAGTTGTGGCTCGCGGGCTCTAGAGTGCAGGCTCAGTAGTGGCGGCGCATGGGCTTAGTTGCTCAGCAGCATGTGGGATCTTCCCAGACCAGGGCTCGAACCTGTGTCGCCTGCACCAGCAGGCGGACTCCCAACTACTGCGCCACCAGGGAAGCCCCATCCGTAATGTTTTACATTTTGGTTTCCTTTCAGTTTTCCTTTCATGATTGCCAAGTTTGTGGGGATTTTTTAAGGTTTTTTTTTTTTTGATGTGGACCATTTTTAAAGTCTTTATTGAATCTGTTACAATATTGCTTCAGTTTTATGATTTTTGCTTTTTGGCTGAGAGGCATGTGGGATCTTAGCTCCCCAACCAGGGATTGAACCCGCACCCCCTGCATTAGAAGACGAAGTCTTAAGCACTGGACCACCAGGGAGGTCCCTTGAATATATTTTTTTCTTATGTCCTTTCACTGCCTCAAGTTGCAGAGACTTTTTATTAGCTTCATATTTCATTTGTCTTTTTCTTCACTAATCAACAATATTTGCCCCAAGATAGGGAAAGTGGGTTTTCCTTGAATTGTTTTATATTCTATTTGCGTGCTGTTAAAATTGTCTGTTTAGACTTGGAGCTAGAAGGTGAGTTATAAATTTATATTACTAATATGCTGTGCAGCAGTAAAGAAGTAAAAGAGCAGCTCGACATTTTGCTAATCTGGTTGCAAATCTTCCGCCCAGAGCCCTCTTTTCTTTTTTGCTCAGCCTTCACACTATGGGTACAGTGGAGGCTCCTTCCATGTGCTCTACCTGTTGTGAATAGCTTTGTTTTAAAAGAACTGAATGTGGAAAAACCTTCAGTCACAACTCAGACTTTATTTTACCTCGGCAACTCCAAACTGAGAAAATAAACTATTCCTGAGATAAGTGTGAGAAAACATTCAGTTGTGTGAAACATCCACCAGAGACTTTATGCTTACAAGGAAGTCTACTTATTCGTGTGTGGGAAAGCCTTGGTTATAGTTTATTTCTTGTTTGGCATAACAAAACCCACCTGGGTTATAATCTGTTTTGGATTTTAGAGGGCAAGAAATCATCCAGAGCTTCTATTATTTTGTACACATTTTTGAAAAATATTGTTCCTGGAATAAGTGTAGAAAAACTTTTAGTTATAGCACATGGCTTCTGCTCCATTCATGAGTCCACAATGCAAGTAAAGAATTACAGTAAGCAGTGTGATAGAGCTCCCAATTTGTTTTTAAAAATCAAAGTTTGGAACTTCCCTGGTGCTCCAGTCGTTAGGACTCCATGCTTCCATTGCAGGGGGCACGGGTTCGATCCCTGATCCAGGAACTAAGATCCTGTATGACGCGCGGCACAGCCAAAAAATTTAAAAAAAAAAAAAACAGACAAAATTTATACCCAGGAGATAGTTCAGGTGACCAAATATGGTGGTAAACGTGTTAGGAGCTGGACACTTACCCTCTTACCTCTTAAACACAAAGAAAATATTCCACAGCTGTATTCTGCATTTCAAACCCTGGTAATTCATCTAAGACCAGTAGGAAAGGTCCAGAGATTTTGGGTGCTGACAAGTTGACGAGTACTGTCCCATGCTGGAAGACATTTCTGTGAAGTTGTTGACCTCTTGGAGTGTTACAAAGGATACTCTAGGTGTTAGGGACAAATTGTGAATACCCACAGGGTGGCTTTTGCTCTATAGAAAATTAAAAACAAACCCCCTATCCCCCCTAACATTAGGATGTGTTCTAGCCTGATGGGGCCTTATAAAACTCTTGCCCAAGGGGGATAATGGGAAGGTGTTATGATGTCAGCTGGCTCCAAGTACCTTGTTGTACAGGTATGTGACCCAGGATAGGACATTATAGACTGATTCCTTAGTGAACCACAACAGTCCTCCCACTAATATATGCACAGGACCAACGGCCTGTACTTTGCCCAGGTGGATGCCCTGTAGGATGAGTGCGCTTTCCCTTTCAAGACCTGTGAATACCCTGCGTGAAAACACAGTTTGAGAGATATATTCGGTGTTCCACCCCCTTTTCTGATCTGTGACTCTTGGTTAGGAATTTGCAGCTGACTGAAAACATAATGTTTTTCCACCCTAGGTGGCGCAGTCCAATGACTTAAACTTTTCTAGAGATGTATGTACAGTTGGCATTTTATGATATCTAACAGGCTTCTCCCCCAAGTCCCTTCCAGTTGCAATGTCTTGTGTATGGATGATGCATTTACAAGATATTAAGTTTCCCAAGCTGGTGCCATATGGATTGTGGATGGAAAGGGACAGGGCCAACAGTCACCCAAGATTTGAGTACAATTAGATGAAAGGACAGAGTAATCACAGGACAATATATATTCCTCTAAGATTAAATGAGGAGTGGTAACAACGGCTGCATGTTCAGGGTCACGGGGTGCATAGGTACATGCTCATCCATCAGGTTGTATACATTATACTTTGGTTTCCATTTGGATGAGATTGAAAAATGCTATATCCCCTCTCTGAGACTGTCTGTGTTGCTCCCCAGGCAAGGAGGGAACAGAATGATGCAATTACACCATACCTGTAGGGACCCTGGCAAGTCAGCATGACCTGATTTCAGAAAAAGGCC